GGGGTGGACATTAGGCAGTGTGCCAGCGAAACGTTGGACCCCAATCTTGAATGGGGGTGGATTGTGAGATCTCACCTCGATTAGAGAGAAGAACGACACTTAGCGAGGACGTTGGGCCCTAAAGGGGGATGGATTGTGAGATCCCACATCTGTTGGAGAGGGGAACAAAGCATTCTTTATAAAGGTGCAGAAACCTCTCCCTAACATACGCGTTTTAAAAACCTTGAAGGGAATCCCGAAGGAAAAAGCCCAAAAATGATAACATCTGCTTGTAGTGGACTTGGGTTGTTACAACGAAGCTCAAAACATACGCGTTTTAAAAACCTTTAAGGGAATCCCGAAGGAAAAAGCCCAAAAATGATAACATCTGCTTGTAGTGGACTTAGGTTGTTACAACGAAGCTCAATCATAGCAGTTCTAGCCAAAAGCAATAGCTTTTTGAAATTACAGTCATTAGACCATACCGATTCTCGAACCGTAATTATTCTGATCCTCAAAAGAAGGGAGAATATGGTGATATTGAAGTTGGGATGAAGGTGAGGTTAATTTACCTTAGTGGCTTCGTTTTTACCCCTAGAGAATGGTAAATATTGAAGGTAAAATGTTTGTATTGAATGAATGGATAATAGAAGATGCTCCAAGGGACTCATGCATGTTGGCCCTAATGGAAGAAAACGACGTAGTTTCAGAGACCGTCTTCCTTTTCTTGTTACCTTCTTCAATTTTCTTTTTGTCCTTTGCCTTTTACCTTCTTCTTTCCATTTCCTTTCACTTATTATTATTATTATTACTAAAAATATAATACTCGGAAACCATTTATCAGATCTACAAATAACTTATCTCGATGGCATTAGAGACCCGATTGAAACGAAGATTCAAGCCGAGAAACAAAAAAAAATATGTTGAAAGGTATCCGAGAATAATTATACCACCCCGAACGAAGGGGAATCTTCGTTTAAACAGATAACGGGAAGGGACCGAGAAGAGGTTTCTCTTAAATGAAGCTGAAGACGGGAATTATATTCTTCATCTTTGTCCTCGTCTAATTCTCCCGTATGCTATCCGTGCTTATAGCAAAAATAAATGGAGAATTTTGCGGGGATGAGAATTAAAATAGGTGGCGGAGTTTCCTCCGTCCCTATCACGCCCATGAAAACCTCTAGATTTGACCGATGATATAATGGTGCATGCAAGTTGGTCTAGATTAATACTAAAGCCGAATTTGATGTCGGTCATGTGAAAAACTTATCCAACCCAGACAAACTCACGATACCCTGAAACTCGGGAGCTAATCGGCCCTGGTAGAGTTTACTCGACCCATTTTACAGTCTCCTGCACACCGAGAGCTGCACTAACAAATAAAAGTCGAAACCAACGAAACCAACTCAATTCGTTCGGTCGATTCTTCCTTCGCTCCGACCCTAATCCAAATCTTTAAAAACCCTAAAAGGCAAATCATAGACTCATGAGTACCAAAAAGAGAGTAATAATAGAGAGAGGTCCACATGTGAATCTTCGAGGAAGAAAGGCCAAATGGCGTAATAATAAAGCTACAAATGAATCCACCTGATTTGGTATTGGATGCCTCGTTAGGAAGCACTCCGGTCGTTATGTTTTTGGCTGCTAACTCGTTGGCTCAACTCCATTCTCCTCTCGCCTTTGTCTTCGGAATTTTTTAAGTATTGTTTATACATCTGCCTTTGTTTCTTTCTCTAAACCCTTTTTCTTATTCGTTCTCGTATTATCTTCCAACTCGAAAAGTAGCAGAAAGAATTCATTAACCTAACCTCGAACCTAGTCTTATTTACCGAACAAACCCACGATAAAAGCTTTATTCACTGGATGATTGGGAAACCCGAGTAAAGGGGTCTCGAAATTTTCGATAACAAGACACTTCCTGTGACACTCGAGTAAACGAGGGGTACATGAATGAACTGAGAACACATCCGAATGAGAGGGATACTGAGGATAGGATACATAAAAAAGGCTTAAACAGGGTACACATTCTTTTTCAGTAGCTCAATCATAGAAACTCCATAGCTAAATGAGGACCAACGTCGAGTATCCTCACTGTCACACCACTCAGTGTCGGGCTCTAGTACCATTAGTAACAGCTCAGACCCACCGCCAATAGATACTGTCCACACCCTTATAGATGTTTTAGTCACTTGAACGGATACGAGATCTCGGAACGGGTTAATTGTATTTAAAATTATAAAAGCTAATTTGTTTATGAGAGGAAAAAAAAAAGGGTAATTAGAATGATTTCACATGCAGAAAAGATCAAGAGGAAAATGGCGAAAAGAAAATGGGGAATAGAAGCAAAAGGTCAAACACAAAGGCTTCAATTTCTTTTTTGGGGAACCGCACAATTGACAGCTCTTTACCCCACGCCTCGGTTATACCGCCGCCCCTGCTTCTGCCCTGCCCACCGCACCTCCTTTTCCTCTTATTTTTCTCAAATTAATACAAAAATAATCTTAATTTTTACCTTTTATCTTAAAAATAAAAAATAAAAAATGCACATAAACATTTTAAAAAAATATTAATATTTTATTTTTAAAAATACTGTTTATTAAAAAAATATATTATTATTTTGATTTTCGACGAAAATTATTAATATTTTATTAAAAAAAAAACAAACTATTTTAGTTTTAAAAATATTTTATTACTACTAATATTAATCAACCAAAATTATTAATATTTTATTTAAAAAATATATTATTATTTTTGATTTTGGATGAAAATTATTAATATTTTATTTCTAAAAAAGGACATATTTTAGTTTAAAAAATATATTATTATCCTTAATTTTGGACCAAAACTATTAATATTAATGAACAAAATTATTAATATTTTATTTAAAAAAAATACTTCTTTAGTTTAAAAAATATCTTTTTTTTTTCTTTCATTTTTAAAAGTATTTCAAAAAAATATTCTCTGAGATTTCAAAATTGTTCTAAATACTTTTAAATTTTTTCAAAAAATTTCAAAGAAATTTATTTTTTTAAAATTAAAAAATATTTTATTTTATTTTATTTTTAAAAAATCAAATATATTTTACATTTAGTACCATAAATTTTCAAAATTAATGCTAAAAATATTTTTAATTTTTTTTATATTTGAAAATATTATTGAAACTTATTTTATACCGATTATATTATTGTCGTTGATTTATATGAAAAATATTAATATTAACCAACAAAAATTATTAATATTTTATTTCAAAAAATTAGTTAAAAAATTTCTTTTTTTCTTTCATTTTTAAAATATTTCAAAAAATATTCCTCTGAGTTTTCAAAAATTTTCCCAATACTTTTAAATTTTTTCAAAAATTTTAAAAATTATCTTAAAATTTTTTTATATTAAAAATATTTACGATAAAATATCTTTCAAAAATATTTACGAATGGTCAGTTAAAAATATTTTTAATTTTTTTTAAATTTGAAAATATTATTGCAATTTATTTTATAGAAGATATTTTTGCTAAAATAATTTTTCCCCTCCATTTTTGCGCTCAAATGATTTTTTTAATATATATAAATTTATGTTTATAATATGAAAATTATAAATAGTTTTGGTGGTTTCCATTTCCCCATATATTTGACTTTTAATTTATTTGTTTCCATCCCACCTTTTTACCTTTTTGCTCAAACCTTTTCAAACTTACATGGGGATTTACCAATGCACTTTTGCTTCCCCTTTTTCAATGTTTTTTTTTTAATCTAAATTTTAAATTAAAAATAATTTTTATCTGTCTAATTGAAACGATACTATACTAAAGCTGACGGGTGACAATAGCAAAGACGATAAACAACGAGAGACCACAGTGGAGAGAGGAGAAGCGACAATGAGACTCGAAAGATTGAATCTTTTAGGGTTCGTGTCAATTTATTTATTTTTAATTATTTTTTTGTATTTAAGTTTATTTTTAGTGTTTAATTTTTATGAGTTAAATTCTTAAATTTTTATATATGATAGGTTAATATTTTTAATTTTTTAAAAAACACATATAATATATTAAATTAAAACTTTATTTTATGAATTTTTAGCTATTTGTCTACCAATTTTAACTCATTTCATTTATTATAACACAATATTACAAATTTTAAAAATTAATCCACGTCATAGTTAAATTTATATTTAATAGAACAATTTTAATAATAGATAATTATAGATATATTAAATAAAATTAAAAAAAATATTTATGAAATTTATAATTTAATAAATGAAAAATATAATTGTTGTAAAATGTAATTTAGAAATTTGTAGCACATCGCGTTGAGCTAAACGACCCTAAGACGTTGTTTGAGTTTGGATTGATCCGATTCAATTTCCAAATTTTAATATCCAATATCAAATAAATTTAAGAACTCTGGCAGCTTGGCTATAAATAATCGAGCCCAACCGCTCCTTACCCTCATGTTCCCACTGTTCTAGTCGATGTCGCCCCTGTTCGTTTTCCTCTTTTCTTATTCTCCTCTCTCTCAACAACAGCATAACCCTTGCTGTCATTCGATATCACATTCACACGCCCTAAGCTAACCATCATTGCTCATTTCAGATCATGTTGCTACATGAGATTGCATTGTTGTGCTACACACTTCTCTAGTCGTTGCACCGTGTGTTATCGTTACACAGAAATTTACGTCGAATCTAATATCAATCTCAACTGGATGGGTGGGCTGGAAATTTAATCTCAATCTGGATAAATCTCTCTATATTCCCTCCACTATTCCCACCTGGTTCGAGGTGGGTCCACGTAGTTTTTAATATTGCAGATTAAATAAATATCTCTAATTCAATTTTGATCGCTTGATTTATCCCACCAAAATTTAATTATTTACAAATATAATGTAAAATAAAGGGGTTAAAATATTTTTGTATCCGGTAAATATTTATAAAGAAGAAAATAGAACCAAAAAAAAAAAAAAGAATTATTATATTCCACACTATAAAATGGATAAATGGACAAGTCAAGAAATTTTGGAAGGCAGCAATGGAACAATGGCGGGTCGAGTATGTTCCTCCATTTCCGCCATGGATGCGACAGTGAAGAAGCTCCTGCTCAAACTGTAATGCGAAGAAGCAGAAGAAAGAAGAAGGAATCTCTCTCTCTCCTCTTCCATTTTAATACTGTTTTCTTTTCAGTTCCTGATCTTCTCGATTTCGCACAACGATTTTCTTTTCAAAAAGCCACCTCTCAGATGCATCCAAAATCCATGGCTTCCGCGTACTTCGCATTATTAAAAAGCATGAAGGCATAGGGGCTCGTGTTCTTGCTCGAGAGAGAGAAGAGGAATCCTCTAGTTGCTGTCCAAATCTTCGTGCCGTTTTCTGCTTGGATTTCGCTTCTGTTTCCAAATCTTACAAATCTGCGTTAATGGTAGCCATTACTCCTGCTACCTCCTTCTCCTTTATGAAGAACAACGATCGTCGCCATTGCCATATCTTCTCTACCTCCAATGGCGACTTACGCTTTGCTTGGCGACTCCGCTGTCCGCATTAATGGCGGTTTCGATGACGGTTCTCTGACCAGCAACTCGACGAACAGCAACGGCAGCGAAGAACTTAATCAACAGATTGTTCAAGTTCCTGTTCAGGTTTCTCAACCGCCGCCGCGATTACCGCCTGGAAAAATGGTGCGGAAGAGAATCGCGTCGGAGATAGAGATCGAAGAACTCGACGGCGGAGGCGGCGGTACCGCCGCCGTTCATCCACGGTTTTGTCGGCGGAGTTTGGCTTCCGATCGTCCTTTTGCAGGTGGAGAAAATAAGACGAATGAGAATGTGGATAACTATTGTTCTTCTTCAAACCCTAGCCATGGCGCTAACCACTCCACTGTGCATAATTTAACCGCTCTGACGTCAGTTGTGGTCGCAGGGTCAAATTTATCAAATCCTCCGTCTGGTTCTGATGCTACGGCTTCTTCCACTACCTCCAATGTCTCGTCTCTTATTGATAGTACTCTTCCTGTTCTTCGTCCTCAGCCCCACCATCGCCATTTGCAGAATCCTGCAGTCTGTGGGTTTTCTGGATTACCCTTGTTCCCACCCGAATCGAATCACCACCACCACCACAACAAGTTAAATACTCGCAATAATCCTTTCCCCATTCCTAATCCATGTCAGGTTGTTCTTCATAATCCTCCAACTTCTACAACGACCTCCATTATCGCCGCCGCTTCTACTCCAATGGATGATTCCTCCGCCACTGCTTGGATCGACGGTATTATCAAGGATTTAATCCACAGCTCCACTGCCGTATCCATTCCTCAGCTTATTCAGAACGTTCGTGATATTATCTACCCTTGTAACCCCAATCTTGCGAACCTTCTTGAGTTTCGTCTTCGTACTTTGACAGAACCTAACGTTCCTAACTTCGCCGCTGAGGATCAGCGTGTTAGGAAATCGCCCTTGCCGTCACCAGCGCCGGTGGGCGGCTTGGGGCTGCAGCAGAGGCAGTTCAATCAAGAACAGGATTGTTCTGGGTTGAAGCTTAATCTCGATTCTTCTCTGCATAATCTTCCTAATTTCTCCTCTCAGCCTCCGTTTCATGACCCATACCTCCACTGGGGAGCCACTCCTACCCCAGCCCCCACTCCCTCCGTCGCCACCACCGGCGGCGAGGTTCCCGGTCATCAACTTAATCTCTCTTCTGTTCCACATTCATCACTTATTCCTCTAAACCATATCCCTTCTAAGCCACAGCCAGAACAGCAAAACTCCTGTCCGGTCAATGTGAAGGCAGCGGTGGCGGCGGCCGCACAGCCATCTCCCTCGCCGCCGACGAGTAATGATCCTTCAACGACTGCGTTACTGATTAGAGAGATAAAAGAGGAGATGAGGCAACAGAAGAGAGACGAAGAAGGGTTACATCTCTTGACTTTGCTTCTTCAATGTGCAGAAGCCGTTTCTGCCGATAATTTAGAAGAAGCCAATAAGATGCTACTGGAAATCTCGGAGTTGTCGACGCCCTTCGGCACATCGGCGCAAAGAGTGGCGGCGTATTTCTCAGAAGCAATGTCGGCGAGGCTTGTGAGTTCATGTTTAGGCATATACGCCGCTTTGCCGCCGACGTTATTGCCCCATACACACAGCCAGAAGATAGCCTCAGCCTTTCAAGTCTTCAATGGCATAAGCCCATTTGTCAAATTCTCACACTTCACAGCCAATCAAGCCATTCAAGAAGCCTTCGAAAGGGAAGAGAGAGTTCACATCATAGATCTAGACATCATGCAAGGTCTTCAATGGCCAGGCCTCTTCCACATCTTGGCGTCTCGGCCGGGTGGGCCGCCCTATGTCCGCCTCACTGGGCTGGGGACCTCTCAGGAAGTTCTTGAGGCCACTGGCAAACGCCTCACTGAATTCGCCGAGAAGCTTGGCCTTCCGTTTGATTTCTTTCCTGTTGCAGATAAAATTGGCAATCTGGACTTGGAGAGGCTCAACGTGAGCCAGAGGGAAGCCGTTGCCGTCCATTGGATGCAGCATTCTCTTTACGAAGTCACTGGTTCTGATTCCAATACGCTCTGGCTTCTGCAGAGGTATACTAACACAAACCTTCAAGCTTTTCGTTTGATCTTCTTCTTTGATGGGTTTCCCTGTTAATTACTTTATCATAAGCATGTGTGAGGAATAAATGTGTATTAAGAATCACCGCTTGTCGAGATATTGTCCACTTTGAACATAAGCTTTCATGATTTTGCTTTTGATTTTCCTTACTTATGATCATCCCTTTAATTAGCCTGGGACACGCCACCAATAATCCTCAATAATTCTTCTTTCGAAGAAAGTATTTCACAGAGCCTCTCCTGAGACCTATGGAGCCCTCAAACAGCCTCCCCTTAATTGAGGCTCGACTCCTTTTCTCTGTGGCCCTCGAACATAGTACACCCTTTATTCGACATTTGAGTCACTTTTTGACCACCTTCGAGTCCCACAATTCTTTGTTTGACATTTGAGAATTCTATTGACATTGACTAAGTTAAGGTCATGACTCTGATATCATGTTTGGAATCACGACTCTCTGTAATGGTATTATATTGTCCACTTTGAATATAAGCTTTCATAGTTTTCTCAAAATGCCATGTACCAATATTTCTTACTTATAAACCCGTGATATGTAAGACTCCCCACTAACAACCCTCACCCGTATGAACAGTGATTCTTAGTCTTAAGCTTACCTCCATTAACCCCTTGCTTTTTTTTCAAAATGATGAATCTTCAACAGTTTAAATCAAGCAAAAAGTTGACTGACTAATTCATTGTTATCTCTGTGCAATGCACCGTAAAAAGCTGCACTCTCATCTCATATTTGATATTTTCACTGAATAATCCATTCATCTGTTTACATGTTGCTGATAAGTACATATTAAAAAACATTGCCATCTCTGTCTTAAACTGATACCAGATTGGCTCCAAAAGTGGTGACGGTGGTCGAACAAGATCTGAGCCACACAGGCTCCTTCTTGGGAAGATTCGTAGAGGCCATTCATTACTATTCAGCACTGTTTGACTCTTTGGGTGTCAGCTATGGCGAAGAGAGTGAAGAGAGGCACTTAGTGGAGCAGCTACTGTTATCAAGGGAGATCAGAAACGTGCTGGCCGTCGGAGGACCGTCGAGGAGCGGCGAAGTGAAGTTCCAAAACTGGAGAGAAAAGCTGCAACAATCTGGGTTTAAGGGCATTTCTCTGGCCGGTAATGCTGCAACTCAGGCCACTCTCCTCCTCGGAATGTTCCCTTCCGATGGATATACGCTTGTGGAAGACAATGGGACTTTGAAACTTGGGTGGAAGGATCTATGCTTGCTGACAGCGTCAGCTTGGAAGCCGCCGTTTCATCACCATGCTGCGGGCAACCACATTCCTAGGTACTGACATTTTTGCATTTTTGATTCTATATAGTGGTGTTGATTTTGTTTGATAATATCGTCATAATCATTATCATTATTCCCTTATTTTTATGGCTTTTTTTTAATTTTTTTTTATTCTTCTTCCTCTTCTTCCTGTTTAAACCCTTTTTCCCATGTCCAATGTATACCAAATTATCTGTGCCTTTTGAATAATGAACTTTCTGTTTCTAACTCATTATAATATCGACTAAAAAATTTAATATTTTGTTTACATTACTTTTAAATTCAGTAAATGTGCAGGTGGGAGGTCAAGCTTCATCCTTAATTACTTATTTTAAGTGCAAAAAATCATAGATAATATATAATGTTAAATAATTTAAAAAAAATTGTAAATTAGATTAGTTGGGTTAATATGAGCCTAACTCAATTAATATGCATTCCTTTCTTTGGAGTACTAGAAGTTTAAATTTTTATGAAATAATATTTATTTACAAGATTTTAAATGCATTTTATCTTGTACCGGAATAGTTTATGAATTAACATTATAAGGCGTATGACGAGAAAACTTAACCGCGGTCCATGAGAGAGGTACTTTTAGTGCATTAACCTATAACTTATGATAATAAAAGAAAGAAAGTCTTTCAAATGATTGGTCCATGAGAGAGGTACTTTTATTGTTGAGCAATGTTTGTTATTAAAGTCAAATTTTCAACTTCTTTCATTGGGAAAATAATACTTTAAAAGTACTTAATCATATTTGGATACTTATAAAAAATAACTCGGAAATAGAGTTACAACGGTATGATATTGCCCATTTTGAGCATAAGCCCTCATAGCTTTGCTTTGGGCTTTCTCAAAAGGTCCCGTACCAATGGAGGTAGTATTCATTGATTATAAACCCAAGAACATTCTCTAAATTAGTGGATGAGGGACTTTCATCCAACATTCACTAAGGTTAGTGATGTGTTTTATGAATCTTTTGATATTTGAGTTTTATGAGATTTTAGTCCGACAACTCAATCCAATAAAAGTTGAGTTGTGAACTCTATTCAGGTTACTCGAGTCATTAACTCAACCAATTCGAAATTTTGAGTTAGTCCGAAAAACTTCTCCACCCCAACCGACTCATGTACACCTGTAATAGGCATGAATATGAAAGTAAACTTGTAATTTAACAAAACTCATGATCTGTTCACAGGTTTACCGAAAAAATATATGGGGAAGGCAAACGGGTGATTACTATAAAAAAACGTGAATCTAAATTGGGAAAATGTAAGGTGATGTCTAGAGAAAGGCTTGGCAAATTGTTGGAAAAAAGTATGTCTTTACGTATTTGTATGTGGTTTGGGTTATGAGCAGACAAGAAAAGGAGTATGGTTGATAATAGGGGAACTCATTTGTTCACCTACTCCCACTATATCCAACTAATCAATAATGGAGTACACATATGGTCCTCATTTGTACTAGTAGGATTATCGACACCTTTTTAAGGTAGACCAAACGACAACTTCGAGCCCCCGTTGTCTAACTAAATTGAGACATAATTGTATTTCTCGTAATAGACATATGAGAAAACATTAAAGTTTTCGAATTTAGGGCATATTTTTTTTTTCGAAGAGAAACATGTTCGATAAACTGTATTATTTCTTATTTCTAATTTTTCATAAACATAAATTCTAAGATGCTAAAAAAATATTAGGGTTTAAATAGGAGAAACTCAATTTTTATTTTCTTTTGATACTTTCTTATCTTCTTTTTTTTTTTTCAACTTTTTTGATTTCTTTCTCTTCACTCGTTTTTTTTTTTAATTTTAGATTCTTTTTCCCTCTTTTCATTAAAGAACCTTTGGTTACTATTTTCTATATATTTCTCTCTTATTTTCCCTCTATTAAATAAATTAATAAGATATTTCATGTTTATCATTAAAAATATTTCTTTTTTTCTTTTCTTTGTTTTTTTTTAGAAATATATGCCTTTGTAAAGAAAAAAAAAATAAAATTTATTATTAAATGAAGAAACATAGTTGATTGACTGATTTGAGAGACAATATTATAGATTAAGTTTGACGGATTGAAGTTACATTTCTTTTATATTAAAATTTGTCAAATAATAAGAGTAGTAATTTCCAGGTAAGAAACAACATAAGGTGAACATATTCTCAAAATTAAGAGACTATGTGACAGATGAGTAAAAAGTAGATAAATAAATCGATACCATATTCAAATGAAAGTGATCATGAAGATATGATAAATAATTGACACTCAATCATAAGAAATCAAAAGTTAATATTTTTAGTTTGGAGTAATTTTATGTTAGGTTGGATCTTCAAAATTATCTTTGTTTTTGAGCAAGAGCAAAACATGCTAAAATGATCGGTGTTAGTCTGTGGAAATAGCCTTCACTTTTAAAAGTAATTCAAAACAAGTAGATAAAAATGGTCATATTGTAGGGACAAGAGAATGTTAAGACCATTATATTTCAAATTCGAACGGGTCAAAATTCTAGACATTAAGATATGGTACGTTTTTCTTTCCAACTTCAAAATTTGTGGTACCACAAGAAATTTACCACAATATACATAGGATTTACCACAATATACATAGGAATGATACAACAAAATATAAGTACATGCCTAGTTTTAAAAAAAACATTTAAAAAAGTTACGATCATCCCACTTTAAAGCTAATGAACTCATTGAAAAAAAAACATTTTTAACGTAACAAAATCAAAGTTAATATACCATCTTTAAAGGTTTTCTCTATAATAGTAACGAAAATAGAAAGATTCGACTCTCTAACCTCTCAGTTGAATACCTTAACCAATTGACCTACGTTTAGAATGACAAAATTTAATACCTGGCCTAGAAACGAGAAGCGAGAAGTAGTGATATCGGCTGATTGTCGCTGCCACAACGTCCAATGTATATCGATATAGCTGCACAGTCAAAGTAAAGAAAACAATACTCACAGGCAAAGTGCCTCAAGATAACTCTATTATGAAATTGAATACGAATTGTCAAAAAAATTATAGTTTCACTAGAATCATCAGAACCTAATCTAACTATATGTATTTATATCTTAATATGAGTGACATCAACAGACAAATAATCTTGTTCTCATTGACTTGAACAGTTAAATCCAAGCCAATCCTGCTGCTGGGTGAACATAATTGGTACCCTTTGTGCATCTTCTTTGCCTTATTTGCCACACTTTCCAACTCAGATTCTCATTCAACAAATCAACTACCAGACAGACAAACAGAAAAATCTATATCCCTTTCTCTTCTTCTTCAACTCCCAATAAAAACTCATGATATCAGAAGCCACCACAAGCAAACACAAGCAAACTTGATATGGATGAAGCTAAAAATGAGTTCTGTGTTGGGAGCTTATCAGTTGAGAGCAATCCCATTTGCCAAGGAAAATTATACTTGATGGAGTTGAGCTCCAGATTTCATGGAACCTATGTAGTAGACGGTGTGGTAGAATCATCAACTTATTATGGATTTATGTTACACTTACTCAAGAACAGGTCTTCTCTGTCTAGAAATTTCTTCCAGTGAGCTTTGTATTTTGGGATGCCCAACTCCAGCCAAGGTTTCAAATAACCATTATAATGTAATGTAGCAGCTTTTTCAATGTCTTGGACATTAACCTTGTAGTCATGACCTAATCCATAAACAGACCATGAATTATCAAGAGCGTAGACCTGGCCCTGAAAGGTAAGCAAGCTTGCACGCAATGCAGCAGCATCCGTTGATTTGTCCTGCTTGCTCAGCTTCTGTTCAATAATGGTTATGAAGGCAAAGGAAGTGTCAGATAATCTGATGGTTCAAAGCTCAAATTTCAAATTTATCCTTGATCAATCACCAAAAGTATTGGAGTCAAACTGAAAAACATCGAGTATTACGCATGAAAACACAAGTTAACAGCTAACATATATCATAGAAAAGACACGACAATCATAAAATAGGCCCTAAGGTATTGCAATACAACGTATTATAAACATCTGCAGTGGAAGATCCATGATCAAGAAGAATATCTCTTATTCAATATTAGGACTATTGATTTAAATATACACTGAGAATTTGAGGAAAACTTCTTGATTTATTTTTTGGTGTGTGTGAGAGGGCGAGCGAGCTGATGCAAGCAAGCAAGCATGTTTATGCACTCAATTGTAAATATCTAGAATTGTACAATTAAGCATCTTCACAAATTAGCACAGGTAATGAGATGGGACTTACCTCACTGACCAAACCACGGAAAATTTGAGAAAGATCAAGCTCTCTCCACTTCGCCAGATCAATTACGTTCAGTCCGGACATCCAAGTGCAATCATCTTGGTTGTAACTATGCTCACCAAGAAAACTTTTCAGCTCACCCAACCTCACATGACAGGACTGAGCAGCACCATTAACTTTTCCTCCCATGTCAAGGCTCCACAAGGCTGATAGGTCTCGCTGGACAACAACATCATCCTCCAGAACCACAACTTTATCCAGGTTCTTGAATATTTCAGGGAGAAGATAGTGCAGATGGGAAAACATTGACATGTATTCTGTCCTAGAGTGAGTTAAAGTGCGAAATGAAATACGGAACTCTTGAGGCAATACAAAAGTTGCATTTTCTTCATCATGAAGCTTAAGATGATCAACGTTCAATACTTCAACAGTTGCGTCCTTATAACTATTCCTCAAAAACCAGAGTTTCATGGCAAAGTAATTCTGTCCATCAGTCAATACATGAAAAACCTGATTTCCACTTTCCTAGAACATCAAAGAGTATCAGTGTCATTTTAAGAAGTAATGGAAACATACAAGTTGGAAGTGCATAAACATTTAACTCACTTTTGCATGTGAAACTGTTGAGTTGATAACCACTGATGATGCAAGTATATTCTTCGAGAATATTATATAATGGTACAATGTGGGATCTGCATATTTCTCGGCCTGAGAGAGCTCCAAATTGGTTGAATCAGTCCTAAAATATTCGACAGTTAGCTGCATAGACAAGCAATGCAGGCTCTTTGGCATGGTCTGAACAGCTAGTTGGAAGAGAAAGGCACTCTGTTTCATGTGAAAACTGGCTTCATCCTCAGTCATATCATATATTTGTCGCAACTTTTTGTCCACATTATTACAGTCCAAAGGGAATGATTTAGCTTTGACTATTGCAGCTTCCATATTCAGCGACTTTTTCTCTATCCTGATTAAGAGATTGAAGACGTGGAAAATTTTCCAGGGCAGAAATGTAAGAATTTCTTCAACGAAGATTCAATCAAATAAAAGGGAAAAAAAAGGTGTCATAAAGTGAAGCAACTAGATACTATAGAGGCTAAATGTTCTATAATATGCTCATAGCTTTAATTAGTTTGCATAATACATAGAATTTTCATCTCTTTAAATATCTGAAAGCATGTAATAAGCAGACAAGCTAGTAGCTTTCAGGAAATAATAGTACGCTACTTCCCAACCTCACGTTACAAAGCTTTCCAATATAAAATTAAGAGATTAAGATGATAAAAAAGATTAATAATATTCCTATCTATTTCCCATCAAAGTAGCGTTAAACCATTGGCATGAGTCTAAGAGAAGCATCAACAATCACAGTGTTAGTGATATATCTGATGCTTCAGCTAACTCTTTTTGGATAAGAGTGGCTCAGGCTAGCTTCAGGGATAAATAACCCAAAATTTAAAGACCCATCCAAAAAGAAGCTGGAGTTATAAACTATATTCAGCAAATTTGTCTAGATGCACCAATATTATCACTTGGATAGCCCAAAATTGTCACTTGTAAAGCCAAACTGCAGCCGTAATTAACAAGCTAAGCAAATAATAAAAGAAATAGACTTCCCTAGCCAATGGAAAATTTCAAAATCTTGAAAATACTAATTAGCATTAACTTTTGCACTTCCCTAAAGGGCTTGGTGTTTCCTCGTTGTTTGATCATAAGATAAAGAACAATTCAGTTCTAATGCGACACGAACATGGTAACACTGCATGAAAAACATTGTTAAAAGCATTTCCTATGGGCTATGAGGAGAGAGAAAATAATAGGACACATAATGACGAAGGAATTAAGGACAGAGTTTTGATTTTGCTAAAACTCCATTGCTTGTCTAGGTGTTCACTTTATAAATCTCTCAGCAGTTGAAATTCTCTTGTAATTAACAGAGGGAGGGGTAGTGTCATGCAGTTTCCTCTTTTAGGGAATCTTAGGTTTGGATACTGAGTTAACTTTTCAATTTTCATCTTTTTCATCAATAAAATCATAAACACGACCACAACTTACTGTAGTGGAAGATCACGATCTGTGGTTGATTCACTCAAGACACGTTCCAGCTCTTGAATATTTTGCTTCAGTTCTTGAGTTAACTTGCCTTGTTTTGGAAGTTTTGCAATGCTAGGATAGTACGCTCGAGCAACAAAAAGCTGATCCTTCAATTTCTTTATCATAGAATCTTTAATAACTTCTCTATTTTCCTCTCGCCAAATACAATAGCTCCCAAACTTCCATTCACATGGTTTTCCACTTTCGTCCAGGGCAATCATGCGATGGGTAGCCTGAACTTTGCCATCAACTTTGGTACCCTGGAAAGGCATATAAAAATTAACCACAAAACCACTTGAAATCCAGAAGCAGTATATAAGTTACACCACAGACTAATACATTCATACATTTTCATGGGTATGCTTTGGAAGAGCGTCAACTTTTGGAGGTTTCTCTTCAACTTTTGGACGTTTCTCTTCAACTTTTCGAGGTTTCTCTTCAACTTTTGGAGGCTTCTCTTCAACTTTTGGAGGTTGTAAACCTGTAGATTCTTCAAACAATATTATTTAAGCTTAAAATTATGCCAGACAAAGAAATATTGTCGAAAACTTGCTTGAAAGAATTCATTCAACCAAACCTTTTGTTTCCCGACTCTCATCTATGAAACCTTCAACTTCCTTCTTAGGTTCAATGACATTGGGCTGAAATACGTCCTGACAATGCAGACCAAAGGCAATTCAGAACAACCACCCTAGAACTATCTTTAAATACCAAAATGACGAGACCCATTATCATAATAATTAATCTTAAACATCAATTACATAAGAGACTATAAAATCATATACATCGAAGTGTCAATACATTATTAATGTTTAAGATTGAGATAAATATTAATAAAAGATAAAATCAACAAATGGATATATAGCATATACACATATTTATATGTATGTGTGTGTGTGTGTGTATGCATGGAAAAAAAAAATCAGAAAAAGAAACCATTAAATATGACAACTGAAGCCCAAGCCTGCTGCTACTAACTATTATTTTATTGGTGAATGATATAGAGTGGACACTGCCGGTTTAAATAAAACTGGAATCCGTTAACCAATTAGGAAAAGAATCTAACACTATGATCTACCTGACCAAGCCAATATAGCAGTTAACTAATTACATGTTTTCTGGTGGAATGTGGCTCTTCCTATCAATATGAGAACTTTCCTATCAACTATCCTGGTGGGACACCCCCTCAAAGAGGAAAAGGAAATTCTATGGCTAAACATCGTGAAAGCTGTCTCGTGAACCATATGGTTGGAGAGATACAACCACTATTTGAATGAAAATACGCTGCCTTCAATAGATATTTGGATAAGGTTTTTCTAAATGTTTTTATCTTGGCATAAATGAAAACATCCATTTCTATCTTTTTCTTAATTCGGTGGTATTTTTGCAACTTCCTCTTGCATGGAGATGCCTGCATTCCCCGTTCCCCCACCCCCAATATTTAATCATGTAAACGAAATATTCCTGAATAAAAAAAAGTACATAATATACCAAAAATATATTTCCTAAACAATTAAAGTTGATACAAACTTTCATCATGATAATAAATATCGGAATAGTTAGAGACAGTTTTCTCTGAGAAACTCATCAGTTATATAATAGTCCTAGCAGTATTCAGGTCTTCAACTTCTGGACCAAATATTTTCGAAGTTTTAGTTTGTTTCATAAGTACCTTTCAGACAGGACCAAGTTCTCACATTCCCTTTAGTCTATCATCATAAGGACCAAGTTCTCGCCTTAGGATGGTTAGTAAATGCGCTCTTCACTTGGTGCATTAGCCGCATAAACCTCCTAAATTCCGCCAATCCCCAAATTCCCAGTCTCTCTCCATTTATAGCCGCTCCACCAAACAAACTACCAAAGTAATAATAAAAGTGCCACCCGTAATCTTCCTAATATAACCTGCTAATATTACATTGCCCTCAGAAGCACACCTTGTCCACACTCATAAAATATGACGAAATTCCCACATTCCCTTCTTTTCTTGCCACTATCTAGTCGCACTCCACCTTTGCTTGAGATCACCTGATCTCTTCTAGATGGGTTTACATGTTGATCTAATCTGTTCTACTTGTAATTTTTCACATGTGATGATTCTTTTTCCGCTTCAACCAAATCTTGATTTGCCTTCCTCCTCTAACTTCTATTCTTTCATCGCTCTTATCTGGTTGTTTATTTCTTCAAACGAATTCTTCCATTCATCTTTAGATCCTAAGAGTTCCATATTCCCTTAGAGTCATTTGCAACTTCGCTAACAACATTTGCATAAACTTCCATTCCATTCTTTCCCTCCTGTTGAAAAGCCGATGGAACAAAAAACTTTTGTTCCACTCCCTTTCACAATTGTTACAGATGCCTTACAACCTTTACCCACAAAATTACGCTCATCTAAGTCCATGCCAGCAAAGCAACTGGAAATATTTCCTTCTCTTGTTGCATCAAAACCCCAAGAAAATTCAAAATACTGCAAAAGAAAGATCCAGCACTTCGTACTAAACAAGCAATGGAACAACAAATGACCTTGAATCTCCTCTGCAGCCCTATAAAGAACGAACAATTTGGTTTAAGAACTGTACTTCAGTTTATTTTCCTTTTTTCCTGAATCCTTTCAATAATACTCATCTCCTCATGGCAGTTGGATCATAAGAAGAAATTTATTTTCTTCTCCCCTGCCTTTCCAAACAGCTAAGGAGGACCCTTTTACTGTATTGGTGACTGTTTATTTTCAATGAGTGGTTCAACGGAGAAAACCCTATTTAGTACTTAAAGCAAGCCCTATAGTTTGTACAATTTCATCTCTGGAGGTGCTACCTTTGAAAAGAATACATAAAAGAGAGACTTAAAACCAATCTAGATCTGAAACCTCATCATCATCCTATTTTATCCCAAAAAGAGTCTTCTAATCAATTCTTCCCAGAGGACAACAAATTACCCGATAAGGATAAGAGAAAGCTCAATACAGAAAAGGGAACAAAAAATTTGTAAGTTGGTTCACATAACACAAGGAAAAAAAATGGTACAATAAACGGTGGAGAAGTAGAATCATTCCATAAGAATGGCCTCTAATGTGAAGAATAGCCATTTGAATCATGCTCTAAAATGTCTGGACTTATGCAAAATCTAATGTAATCAAGTCCCTTCCCTAAACTTCTTATTCTGTGAGCTTCATCTATCTCTGAAAGATTTCGAAGCCTTATAGGGAAAACAGAAAAAGAAAAATTAAGGAACCAAGGGGTTAACCATTAGAAAAGGTAAGAGCTCGGAGTAGCAAAACAGCAAACAGAAGAGATAAGGTTCTGCAAACTGTAGAGGAACTTGGCTTTCAGCTCAGCTAATCAATTGCACAATTATTCAAAAGTTTAACTGTGCCATACTCATACTAAGAAAAAATCATAATTTCAAAGCCTTCACTTTGGGTAATATATTACAAGCATTTTGATGAAATATATCCAAAATACTATCACCAAATGATATGTAGCACAATGTATTCATTTACACGCCAACGGTGTACATCCATTACTCGTCCAAGTACAACATTTATAACAAATAAATAAATTCTAAGAAGAACTGACCAAGCACTATCCATAACTGATGCAAGAGAAAAACCAACATGCAAAAAGAACTAAGAAAAATTATTAGACCTTTGGAAGCGTTGGTCCCAATTTTCTGATTATGTCATCTACATGACTAGGTTGAAACCCCTGCCATAAAAATGTTCATGGAAACTAAAATAACTGGACAGTAGAAGTACACTAAATAATGGAGAACGATCTAATCCATTAAGATTTCTTTCTTCCTGCATCGAATCAACTAAAATCATTTTTCAAAACATTTTCTTACATCACCGTGAATATACAGAATGATATCAATAACTGGGAAATTTACAAAACCAATCATGCTTATAGTATGAGTTTTGAAACCAAATGTCGCAAAGACAAATATTAGTCCTTACAGGTTTTGAACTTTGCGAGTCAGATGCATATCCTGCTGAAGAACCAAAAAAAAATTGTGTTAGAAAAACACTTTTCTTAATAAAATATGTACTAGTGGAGAAAATGCTGTTCATGAAAAGTAGGAACTAAGAAAGGGAAATATTGCCAAGCCCGACTACGATGTGATTATTAATAGAGATGTTATCGAAAAATAGAATAGGCAGATGAAAGATTACAGAAGAGGGAAGATGCCTGAATTCCTTCCTATCCTAATTCACGCAGCATTCATCGAAGAAAATCCCGAAGAAGGGAATCAAAATGGAGGGAGAAGGAGACACTTCAACAAGAAACGGTGAACGGAATCAAAATTGAAGAGCCAGGCCATATACGATGCAAATGACGCTAAAGATGCAAGAAAATCGATTCGAAACATTATCGAATTTAAAATCAAACGAACCAAATACAGGGTAAAACAGATGCGGGACGCGAGATCTACAGAGCATTAAACAAAGAGAATAGAAAGTGTGCAAGATGTGACAAGCCCAACTGAGACAGTAAAAGCTACGAACAGATCCGATCCATTAACATCAGATTCAACACAGCCAAGGATCAATTCGATTGAAAAGAAAAAAAAAAAAAACAAACAAACATGTTACCCGTAGTGTGAAAGCCATTGTAGAGACCGAGCAAAAACACGAGAGGCACAAGCATTGAGAGGAAAACGAGGCCAAGAACTCCGATCACGAGTCCTTTCCATCGCCTCTTCGCCGGAAATCCATAAGCAGAAGCTCCACTCCCTCCGCCACCGCCGCCCTTCATCTCCGTCACACTACCGTCTGTCAACTATATATCGATAATGTATAATCTTCCTCTTCGAAAATCAGCCCCCTCAACCGTCCGCAATTTTCCTGTTCGTATCAAATTGATTTTCGCTGAATCTCCGCCAGAGTTGAAGCAGAGACGTAATTCAGATATAGATCATGAAATACGAACAGTTCATCAAAGATTGAGGAAAGGGAACACTGTTGTGGAGTAATCCGAAAGAATTAACCGCTGTTGTTGTTGAAGGTAGAATCAGGAATGGGTTTCGTTTTCATCTCTCTCGTTCCATCGCTCACTGCAATGGATGGATCAGATACAAATTCCTCGAAGTGGGTTCGGCAAATGAAAGACCAGTGGCGAGTGGGAAGGACTTGAACCGGCTCAATTCTGGTTTTTTTTTTTTTTTTTTTTTGG